GAAGGCAGTGGATGGATGGATGGAGGAGTCGATGACTGTTTTCCTTATTGGGACCCAACTCAAGGCCTGCTACTGGAAGCACTCAACCAATATTTCTTGAATGAGAGAGTGAATGTGTGCATAAGTGCATGAATGAATCACTAAATGAGCAAATGAGAGAGTGACTAAATGCATGAATGAATGAGTGAATGAATGCAAGAATGAGTGAATAAATGCCAGCAGGAGTGACTAAATGCATGAATGAGTGAATAAATGCAAGAATGAGTGAATAAATGCATGATTGAGTGAATAAATGCAAGAATGAATGAATAAGTGAATAAATGAATGTATGAATAAATGCATGAATGAGTGAATAAGTGCATAAATCAGTGAGTGACTAAATGCATGAATGAGTGAATAAGGGCAGGAATGAATGAATGAATAAGTGAATAAATGAATGAATGAATAAATGCATGAATGCGTGAGGGGGTGGGTGAGTGAGGGCGAGGGGCTGACAGGTGCAGGGACAGCTGTGGAGGCGGCACCCACCTCGTTGATCCAGTCGATGTAGGCGGACACCCGGGTGTAGACTACCGGCTTCTTGCGGGTGTTGCAGCCCAGCGAGGAGCCAAAGCTGACGATACCAAACACTTCCCAGGAGCCGTTCTCCAGCTGGCAGTTCAGTGGACCACCGGAGTCCCCCTGCACCAGGCCGGGAGGGCATCAGCCACCAGGCCCCCGAGAGGCAGGCTTGGGAAGCAGGGCTGGGTTGGGGTGGGGGATGTGGGTTGTTTTCTCAGCCTTAGTTAGTAGATGGTTTTGGCCTCAGCCTGCCCATGGTGAGGGAGGCAGAGGAAGTGTGGTTTGGGGCTGCCTTGGCCTTGTTCTAGGAGGCCCTGGGGTGTCGGACTAGCTCTTGGTTTGCTGTGTGATCTCGGGATGATGTTACACCTCTCTGTGCCTCAGTTTCCCTAGCTGTTCAGGTCTCCTTGTCTAAGACTCTGTGAGCTACTCAGAGCAGTGAGGATGCTGGCAGCTGTGCCAGAGGCCTGGGAAGGTGGGGAAGGAGGGTGAGAATGGGGAAAGGGTTGTGTGTGTGAAAACAGGACATTCCCTGATTATCTTAGATGTTTTATGGTTCTGGTCTCTCTGGACTGGTGGAGCAAATGGCATGGAGGAGCATGTGTAGAGACTTCAGTGAAGCCTCTTCTGCATCCTTTAAACTCATTTAATCCTAACCCTGTGAAGTGGTAACTCCATTTTATAGATGGAAAAACTGAGGTCAGAGGTTCAACGGCCTTCCCAAGGTTCCGCAGCTCATAAATGGTGGGACTGCGGCTTGAACTCAGATACTCATGCTCAATGCTCTCACCACAGTGCTGAGCGGGGGGCAGTGATGGGCTTACCCTGAGCCTGCTGGGCCCAGCCAGGGCTTGCTCAGTCTCCTCCCAGAGGAAAGGTTTAGTCCATTGCACCTCCCTTTGCCCATGTCCACTTGGCCACTTAGAGTAGGGACAAGGTGCAGAACCTAGTCACTCACACTGCAGGCTGAGATGATGCCATCGCCCCCAGCACACACCATGATTTCCGTCACCATGAAGCCCCACCAGTCAATCCTGGAGCACGTGGCGTGATCCACCACACGCTGCAGGCCCTGCTGCAGCTCATCAGCAATGGGGCCGTTGGCTGGGGAGAGAGTGAGCAGTGACCAGGGAGGCAGCCGGGCAGCCCAGCCCAGCCCAGCCCAGCCCTGCCCCTCCCCAGGCCTTCAGGGAGCAGAGGCCTGGGATGGGACCCAGGGGAGCGCCGGCTGAGACGCTGTGCAGACCACACACCTGCCCTTCATCAAGAGGCAAGCCCAGGTCCCAGCGGGCCAGGAGCAGGCTGCCAGCAGAAGGAAGCTATAGTGTTAAGTTGTCTTTAAATTGGATTGAAATTAAATTGGATAAAATGGGGGTTTAGTTGTCAATCATGTGTCTTTGCTGTCACACATTAAAAAGCCTTTCTTACTCCAAGATTTTCTTTTTTTCTTTCCTCCTTTTTTTTTTTTTTTTTGATACAAGGTCTCACTCTGTTGCTCAGGCTGGAGTGCAGTGGCAAGATCACAGCTCACTGCAGCCTCAAACCCCTGGGCTCAAGTGATCCTCTCGCCTCAGCCTCCTGAGTAGTTTGGGACTACAGGTACACACCACCATAAACTGCTATTTTAAAAAATTGTTTTTTTTTGTAGAGGCAGGGTCTCACTATGTTGCCCAGGCTGGTCTTGAACTCCTGGCCTCAAGCGATCGTTCCTCCTCGGCTTCCTAAAATGCGGCATTACAGGTGTGAGCCGCCACACCTGGCCTCTCTTCCAGGCTTTTCTAAATAGCGATCTGCACTTTCTTCTAAGTATCTCACAGTTTCATGATTTGCATTTACCTTTTAGTTCCTCTGGGATCTATTTGGGCATATTATACGGTAGATGTCATCCCCCACCCCTAAATGCTTTATTTTCGTTTATTTATGCTACACTTACTATGTGCCAAGTGCTGTTCTGAGCACTTGACAAATTCTAATTCGTCTAAACCTTACCACATCTCTCAGAGACTCTTGTTAGTGTCTGTCACATGGTATGTGCTTAGTAAATACTAGCTGTTATTGCTACACGGTTTACAAAGACATGAAAATGTGAAGGCAGAAAGGGAAAGTGGGTGGCATGCTGCTTCCTTCAGGAAGGCTCTCGGGATTTGCCAGGGACGATACTCACTCCAGAGGCGGCCCCAGCCAGTGACATAGCAGGGGTAGTCGTTGGGGAGCAGGGAGTCCTTCTCTGGCAGGCAGGCCACCTGGATGGTGTCACTCAGCTCCACGTGCTCTGCAAGCTTGATGAGGGCAATGTCGTTGCTGGAATCCAAAGTGGAGAGGGTGAGTGGGCAGGAGGACCCTGGCCCCACAAGTCCAGGTTAAGGGGCTCGGGCTGTGAGTTGGGAATCAGACCCAGGGTGCTCAGGGGTCCTGCACAAACTTCCTGACTGCCAGCTGCTTCTTGACCTTCGGGGATGTCGGGACGAACGATTCACCATCTAACATGATCACCCGCCCTGTTGACGGCTTCTTCTCACATGTCATCACCTCGGGAAAGGGTTAACAGAGGGAGGTGGGGGTGGAAGTGTTCGAAACCACTGCTGGCTGTGTGCCCATTGAAACAGAGGCTATAGCAAGTTGAGAACTCTAATGCCAAAGATGGCACTTGCAGATGCCAGTTTTAATATGTTCATGTTACAGGCATAAAAGCTGGCCACCCCAGATACACCTGGTTTGATTCCTGGTTCTGCTACAAAGTGGGCTGTGTGACCTGGCACACATTTCTTAACCTCTCTGAGCCTCGGTTCTTTGTCCAGGGCTGTTGTGAGGATTACATAACAGATGGCACATAAAGTATCTATTGCAATGTGGGCATACAGTAGGCACTCAATAAAGGTGAGCCCTGGCCCAGCCTCTGGAGAGACACTGTGGGGGGGCCTTCCTGTGAACCTTCCTGGGAGTCTTGGCCAATGAGGGGGATACGAGGGGTATTTGTCTCCACTCAGCATTTTGCCATTTTGTGTAAGAGAGTCATTCGCTGGCTGTCCAGGGTGAGGATGGGGTGTCAGGTGTGGGGTGCAACAGGCTCTGCGGCTCTGTCTTGGGGACCCCTCCTTCCACACTGCCCCCAGCGGCTGTGGGATGGGCAGTTTGTCACTCACACTGCCAGGTCGTAGTTCCAGTTCTCGTGGACATAGATGGTGTCCACACCCACAAACAAAGATCCTTCCTCATCTTCCACCTCCAGGTTGTGCTTTCCCAGGGCCACACGGTAGATCCGGTTGTTGCTGGGCAGAGGAAGGGGACCAGGTCAGGGTGGCCCCTGGTCCTACCAGCCAGTGGGATAAAGAGGGAGCTTGGGGCTTTAGTGGGACTCATTTGAGGGGAAGAGAGTGTCCCCATTGTCCTTTCCCAGGGCCACACGGTAGGTCTGGTCGCTGCTGGGCAGAGGAAGGGGACCAGGTCAGGGTGGCCCCTGGTCCTGCCAGCCAGTGGGATAGAGAGGGAGCTTGGGGCTTTAGTGGGACTCATTTGAGGGGAAGAGAGTGTCCCCATTGTCCTTTCCCAGGTTGAGGGAAAAGGGCCTAGGACTTGGGGTTAAGGGACTTGGGTTCATGTTGTGAGCTTGCTGCTTCTGGCTGTGTAGCCTCGTGCCTCAGTTTCCTCATCTGTAAGGGGGAGGCAATACTGGAACATACTCCCAGGGCGGCTGTGAGAATAAACTCATCCAAGCTTCCACCGCTTTTGCCTGCACAGTTGCGGCATCCACCTAACTGCCCCTCACTTGTACGCTGGCCTACTCCTGTCTATTCCGAACCCAGCAGTGTGGGTTTAAAAATATCTCAGGCCAGGTGCAATGGCTCATGCCTGTAATCCCAGCACTTTGGGAAGCTGAGACCTGAGGATTGCTTGAGGCCAGGAGTTTGAGACCAGCCTGGGCCACATGGCAAATCCCCATCTGTACAAAAAACAGAAAACTTGTGGTGAGGTTTGGGCTTCTAAGTTAAAAAACAAACAAACAAACAAACAAAAAAAGAAGAAAAATTAGCTGGGAATGTGTGGTGGCGTGTGCTTATGGACCCAGGAGGGGTCTATAAGCTACTCGGGAGGCTGAGGTGGAAGGATCGCTTGAGCTCAGGAGGTCGAGGCTACAGTGAGCCATGATGGCACCACTAAATGAGATTCTGTGTGTACCAGAAAAAAAAAATTATGTATGAAATATATAAAATTAAATATGTGGC